CGTGCGTGCGTGCGTGCGCGCGTGCGGGTCGGATGCCTGAGTTAATGGCCCAGGGTATGGGGCCGCAATTGCCATGGATCTGAAGATGCACGACATTTGGACGATCAGTCTTCAAGGCTGTAGGTTCTTCGTCAGAGACAGTTGACACTTGCCTTGACGCATGGACACGCTCAGCTTGCTCCGATTGTGACCCCGACCCGAACCTCTTCAAAACACCATGCCCGGAAGTCCAAACGTCGGGCAAACATGACCACGAAGCTGAACAGCAGGGGCACTGAAGAAAAGCCTGGCAACGCGGTCTTTTCTTATCTCTGCCTTGCCGGCCCGCACTGCATCTCACGAATCATCCTGAATGTGGCAAAGCCGTCAGTTGCACCTTTGTGCACTCCTGGCATGTACCACCACGGGCAATATTCAGCCTTGATCTCCTCAGTAACCTCCGTGCCCGGAGGCACGGGCATCTCGTGTTGCAGGTGCTGTAGCTCTTCCATGCGCAGGCCCAGATGGTCCAAAAGCTTCATCTCGCTGTACAAAGCAGAGAGGAACCAACGCCCGGTGTGGCCGTTCCCATGGGCAACAACTGGCCTCTGAAGTGTCTGTCGGTTCTCTATCCGCGGCTTTGGAGGAGAGGTGTCGCTGTCGCAAGTCACATCCCACTGCGGCTGCTCCTCGTACATACACTGGAACACGGAACACCTGGGCTCCACGAGATTTTGCAATACAGCAGCACACATCACCTTGCCCTGCACCTCTCTGAAGTAGGCACTCGAGGCAAAAGATAAGCAGTAAACCCCACTGCCTCGTCCCCGTAGACCCTGTAGTCCCTAAAGTATGAGGATGAGTGGAGCCACTGCGTATCCAGCACAAAGGGATACCGGCTCCCGCGCGCTGCCCGAGCAATCAGGAAGTCGTGGAGCCTGACCTGATCGTTCTCCTGGGAATGATGGGGCGTGCACTACAGTACTTGTTGCATCACTTACTTGGTCATTTACTCCTTCATTATAATATATTTCTGACATATTCGTTATTTTATGCATGTACACATGCAATAATAGATTACTCTGGGTGCTGAGGGTCTTGAGGTTCAGGGTTTTGCACCGAAGCGTTTCGGGCGAAGCTTTACGTAAGAGTGTGTCTTCTGTGTTCAGTGCGGCTTGGGGTTAGACTGCTAGTGCTCTCCTCAGCAGGGAGCGACCCACCGCTGTCTGTGTCATGGATGAGGCCGTGGAGCAAATCCGCCATGGTCTGGCAAGATTTCCACAGCCAAAGACCCTACCGATCAGAAACATGCATGGTAGAAGCACGGCTTTGCAAAGCAACGCTCTCCGAGTCATACAGGGACTATTTAGCGTTTTAAAGGTTCGACGTCCATGCGAAAGACCGCGAAAACCGATCGGCCCACGTGTTGGTGCCTCTGCCGGGCCCACGAGTCCACCAGAGTTGGGGTAACCTTGGCAGGTCTCGTTCAAGTTGGTTCGAGCATGTAGGAATTGGGTATTGGGATCAGGAAAACCCAACTTTGTCATGGCTGTCGGCAGCTTCAGCTTTAAAGCTGTCACTTGAACAGGCTTCTTCCAACTGGTAAGTACGCACGCTGACCACCTGAGCACACTGTGCCTCACATGGAAGAAGTCTTGATCATGCCGCGAGAGCACGCCAAGGCGTCGTGCCATCCGGGTAGAGGGCTTCCATCTGTGCCTGTAGCGCCGCAAGCAAGGGGGTAGTGTTAACTGGTACGACAACTGCCCATACTGCCATCAAAAAACTCTCTGCGACTACGGCTGCGGCTAGGACGAGTAATACGATTGCTGTTACTCCTCCTGCTACTACTGCTACTGAAGGTACTTCTACGACGACAACGACGACACGACGAAGACCACCAAGACAACAGCTACTCACGGCTGCTACTATTGCTGCTACTATTACTGCTGCTGCTGAAACTAAAACTAAAACTAAAACTAAAACTAAAACTACTACTACTACTACTACTACTACTACTCCTCCTGCTGCTGCTGCTGCTGCTACTACTACTACTACTACTACGACCACCACCACCACTACCACTACCACGACCACGACCACGACCACGACCACTACCGGCACCACCACGACCATCACGACGACTGCCACTTCTACGACTACGACTACGACTACGACGAC